AATATTTTGACTTCCCAGGCTGGGGATGATCCCTTGCCTGGGAAGCAGAAGGTTATTTTTTAATCATTTCCCTCCTGTGTGATGTACTCTAGGTTACCCTGCTCTTACAGGAGGGTTGGACTAGATGATCTTTTGAGGTCCCTTCCAACCCTTAGGATTCTGTGATTCTGTGATTCTGTGTGCTCCCTCCTTTGCATTTTCTATAGCTATGAGCTTGATGCAGCACCAGCTGGTACTTGCAGGCACCTGTAAGAGCTGCAGTTCAGGTTCATATTCAGTAATCCCATGTACCAGTGCAGTCCCCATAGTCCCCAAACAGGCAGCATTAATGCTAGAGGCACCAAACAGCAGCTAGCAGCTGACATTTTAAGACAAGACACAGCACTACTGGAGCACCCCTGCAAATGGGACACAGTGCCCTCAAGAGCCACAGGTTCAGATTTGGACTTCAGCTACAAAACGCTTTTGGATTGTTCATTGTTTTGCATCCTGAACACCTTCCACTGACTGCAGGGTAGCCAAGGGTAGCCTGCTAGGCAGGCACAGGACAGACACTGCACTTGCTGCCCACCAGCCCTATACTGCACGACATGGCCCCCATGCTCACTCCACCACATTTACAAACACTTGTAATAGGTGAACAGCATTAGCAGCTAAAGGGGATGGGAAAACAACACATATTTGCAGCTTTCTCTCCCTCCAGGCCACCCCAAAAGGAAGAAAACTCATAGTAACAGGCTGCAAAGTGAAGTGAAAAATAGAGTCTTTGCTGCTCATGGAGCAAAGATTATGGGATGGACCAGTTAACATCACTGTGCTCCTCAGCACCCGTCCTGTGGTCAGCTACATGCTGCAGTCCAGCACAGCCCCTCCAGTGATCCTTCACTCCCTCTTCAGCCCATGGAAAAATTGGCCAGGAGGGCGTTTCACTGCCACTTGCCCTTCCTTCCCAGAGCCCTGGCCATGGTGCCCATCCTTGCCCTGCATGCGGCAGTCAGAGAGTACTGGTGGCTACCATGGCACACTGGCAATTCCTAGAAAGCAGTTGAATAAATCCTGATAACCAAACAACCTTTCCCATGTGGTATCAGTGGTGAATCACCCCTCTCCCCCTACCCCTTTGGGCATTTTCACCGCAGGGCACATCTCCCCTCACACGCAGGCAGCCTGGGCTCATTTTAAAGAACGGTTTATTCGCTCAGAAACAGACGGTCACATCTCTTTGACCGAGATTTAAAATCCCAGTGTGTACAAAGTCACAGTCACGGCTTGCAGGGCACATGGCAGCGCCCTCGGAATAAAAAGTCATTAAAAATCCCAGCGCTATATACAGCTAAGTGCCAGCTCAAGTATTCACAACACAGTAACGTACTGCAATTAGTTGCTTAAAAGTAGTTCCCTTGAGAAACAACCTTCTGCTCCGGCAGAGCCGGAGTCTGTTCCGTCCTGTCCATCCAGTGATGCTCAGTGTTGCTGGCAGGTGTGCAGTCGGGAGGCATCGGCAGGGCCATGCTCTCGCTGGAGGCGGCACACCAGCCCCTCGGCGCACTGGCACCGCTGGAAGATCTCCAGGCCGTGGGTGCCTTTCCGACGGTGCCGGGTACACACCTGCCCTTCCCGCAGCACCGGCTTGCAGATCTTGGACCAGAAGTGACGGGCACAGCACAGCCCGGCTGCACAGTCTGAAGAGCGTAGGCAGAAGTCCCCCTCCTCACCTGTGTGGGGACAGCATGTCATGTGCTCAGCCCAGGATGCTCCCACTGGGATGAAGGGGCAGGGTGGGGATCCCCCATAGGGGATAGTGAGGCAAGGTGCACAGCCTGCACTGCTCCATAGGGATCAGTGCGGCAGGATGAGCAGCCCTGAAGGGGACAGTAGGGTCACAACATGGCTTGACCCCCTTACCTTTGGCAGTGGGGAGCCAGGCGGGAGCGGGCGTCCGTCGGGTCAGAACCTCAGTGCCGATCTCGTCCAGCTCGGTGCCTCCATGGGGTGGCTCCGGGGGTGTGCAAAGTCCTGCGGGAGGCAGCGGGATGGCTGTCAGCCATGGATGGACCCCAACAACCCCTCCAGCGGACACCACCAGAGTGTCGTCCTCCCTCCCCAAGCTCTGCCGCCCCTCACCGTTGCTGCAGGTCGTGCCGGGGCAGCACATTGCGTCGCGCAGACAGCGTTTGCGGCGTCTCCGGCAGGCGAGGCAGAGCGGGGCTCCCCCGCCGCGGGCCGCGCCTCCGCAAAACTCCTCGGGGCCACAGTCCTCGTCCTCGGCGCAGGGGAAAGGCTGGAGAGGGGGCAGAGAGGAGGCAGAGAGGGTCAGCGCGGCCGCCACCCCCCATCCCCAGTGCGTCCCTCCATCCCCCGTGTGTGTCCCCCCTCTCCATCCCCAGTGAAGCCCCTTTCCTACCTGCCGGGTGGCGGCCGGCGGTGGCTTGTTGCTGCCGTCGAATGGGGCGGCGGGGGGGGCGCTGGCCTCGGCCCCTACCCCCGGTGGGGGTCCCTTGATGGAGTTGGAGGTGAGCGCGCCGCCGGGTGCCGCCGCCCGCCCTGCCGGGGCCGCGCAGCTGAGCGCCGCCAGCAGCGCCACCAGCCCTCGCATCCTCGTCCCGTCCCCTCCCAGCCCCTTGTCCCCGGTGATGTCCTATCTGCGAAGAAGCTCCCGCGGTCCCAGAGTAGCAGCTACCTGCTCTGCCCGCCGCCGTCTTTATACCCCTGGGGGCTGCCTCCTGCGCCCGCCCCCTCGGGGAGGAGGGCAAGGCGGATGGGATTTCAAAGGGTCCCCGGGGGGTTGTGAGACCCCAAAACCGCCCCCACCCCGCCCCGAGGGCTCCATCATTGGCCGCCGGCCCGGGAAAGGGGTTTCGCAATAGCGAAGGCAGACACCACCACCACCACCACCACCACCGCCCCCCCGCCCCGGTCCCCGGCCAGATGCTCCGCATGCCCCGCCGCTGTCTCCAGCCGGGCGCGCCGCCTCGCCCGACGGGAAGGGACGGGAAAAGAAGGGGAGGGAGGGGGGAGCACCCCATACACTCACCCCAGTGGCTGGGAGCCACGGTGGGATGCAGAAAGGCCGCCCCCCCGGTGACAGAGGCAGTCCTTTGGTCTCCTGCAAGTCTGCGCCCCCCTCCCCCGCGCCCTTCCTGGCGCCAGCGCGACTTTACAGGAAGGGAGGGGGCCGCTCGGCACCCCTTCACCCCCCGGCCCGGTTGAGGGGGGGTGTGGGGAGACGGAATATGGGAGGGGCTGAACCCCCCATTGGTGCCGCCCCCCCCCCACACACACACACTGCCGCACACTCGCCTGACCCTAACCCGGGCAGCTCCTCCATTGGGATGGAGGGCAGCACCGTCGGGGGAAGCTCCCGGTACTTTGATGCGGGGAGGTCTCCGCTTTCACACCCCACACCCCCCCTCCCCGGCCCCTGCATCGGCGCCCTCGGGACGCCGCCGCCTCCCCGCTCCCCCTCCGAGCGTCCCGCTCCGGGGCAGCGCGGCGCGGCTGTCACCCCCGCGCCCCCTTGCGGCCACGCTGGGGTAGCGCGCCCCCCCATCCCGCGGAAGGTTGTGCAAGCGCCGTTAGCAGCACCAGTTAATTAAATCGGCTTTTCACGATGACGGCCTCATGCTCCTATTTATTTATTTTAGCTGGGTTTGACAAAAAATACAGTAACAAAATAAAGCCCAAGCACCCCACCGCTGCCGAGCCCACCATAAATATTTATTCCCCCGAGGGTGGGTGATTCCAGATGTCACACTCCTGCAATGAAAACCTCAGCAGTGCTCACCCACCTCCAGCGCAGCGGGTATCGCTGTGACTCCGCAGGAGCTCCTATCAGGTACTTCTGGTCCAAGAGGCTCAAGCTGGGCTAATAATTACCTGGGAAGGTTTTGGCGGGCACCTAACACAGGTACCGGCGGAAGCGGTGCTGCTGAGCCAGCACTCGGCAGACGTCCCTGCCACAGCCAGGTGAAACGGGGCCTTGCTGTTTTTAGCCTGCAAGAATGAAGGCCACACCTTGCCCCTAAGTCCCTGTATTCCCCTTGCAGTTTCAGGTGAGGGCCACCAAGGGTTTTTATTGTATTGACTTGTATCTGCAATTGCTGCATCCTGCAAATGCATTTTGCAGTGTTTCCCACCTCCTGCTTATGCAGTTAGTGAATTTATACCCCTCCTGGGAGGATGCTTTCATGCTCCTGTCTCCAGTTTTTACCTCTGTGTCCACATTGCACTGAAGTACACCCTTAACTTTGACCTTGCTGAGATTTAAATGGAACCATGTCACACAGGGGCTGAGCTGTTTCTCAGGGATGGATTTAAATCTATTGGGAGCGGCAGTCTCAGCATCCTGAACACCACATCATCCTGCACACAGAAATGATGTCTTCATGTCACCCCATATCTGTCCTGCCGTTAGAGGCTGTGCTTCTATCATCACATCTTGGCATTTTCCATGAGGGGCAGCAATGACAAGGACACCATCATTTTTTGACACAGGTGCTGTTTGCAGTCACATCCCACCTATGGATGATGCAACACGTGTTGGAAATATGGTCCCTTCCCAGCCGCATGCCCTGGACTCGCTTATATTGGCAGTAACCAAAATATAAAGTGAATTCTTCATCCCTGAAGAATAAACATGCCGCAGGTGTGCTTATTGGTTAGTGTGTTCATAGAATAATTTGGTTGGAATTGAGCTGTGGGGCTCACTCAGTGCCAGCCCTACTTGAAGCAGTACCTCCCATCAGCCTCAGACCTCTTTGTCCAGGCTACTTGGGGTGGTGCTGGTGCTCAGGTAAGTCCTGTAGTAACTGTGGCCATTTGCCTTTGCAACCTGCAGGAAATCTGGATCCCAGTACTAATCTCCAACTACCATGCATTTTGTACAGTTGTGTCTTACTGCATACGAACATAAGAGAGAATAAACCCCCTAATTTGATCACTAACCAGAACTCCTCTCCCAGTCTTGGCTTCTGCTGTGGAAGAGAGCCACTGACGAATCGTTCAAAAGTAATTGTTTTTATTTCAACTCTATAAAGTATACAACAGGCACTCGGCAATTACAGCTGCAGGGAAAATACAGAGCAAAACAAAAGCAGTTAAAGTTTATGAAAAAAAGGTCTTAAATCTACATCAAAAGAATGCAACCGGCCAGTGACCGGTGGATGACTGACATCTGTCTGACAAACAAAATCTCTTTCATGTAGGAAGAAAACTGGAAAAAATAAGAATCTGAACCAAAGGCTAGTGTAAAAGCAGCGTAAATTGGGACTTGGGACGATGGACAGCTCAAAACAAAAATTTCTGCTTTTGCCAGTAAGGCTCTAAAACTGCCCAAGTCTCAGCGTTACGGCTGGTTTACACAGCCACGGAGCTGTGGAGGTCAAGGAGCTTCCAGCTTCCCAGCTAGGTTTTGTGAGAGCGCCGAGGGCTCGCCTCCATGGTAGTTTACATATAGGAGTCAGGGGAAAAGCCCAGATCCTGTTTTGTTGAGTGGTGCAAACCAGCTACTCCTTTGAGTCAGGCTTTCAGGTCAAAACACGCAGGTCGGGTTGCACACCGAGTTGCTCATCGTTTTTTTGTGTGTGGGAGATTTCTAAAGGGGTTTGTATAAGACAGGAGGTTGGTGTTGGACAGCATGACGGGTTGAATCTGCACACCTTAGCAAAACAGGAATACCTGTCTACAGACTGATAGGATGTCATATATTAATTTGACCTGCACATAACATTTATACATTTCACAGAAATGACTCTGTATCTCATCAACAGATACACAGCTCTGGTACATTGAACAGAAATAAGAGAACAACTTCATCATTTCTGTAATTCATCAATATTATATAATAAAGGCTTAGAAATTGGTAGCAGAAAGAACTGTAAAACGCAGCAAGCTAAGAAAGGACGACATTTTGAGGTGTGTTTGTCTTTGTCATGCAGCATAACACCAAATTTGTAATCTTTTTTTATAGGATGCCACAGATTTAAGGCACTTGCAACAATGCCAGATAGCTAGTCATGTTCTAAAACTATGGGACAGATGAGTTAACAATACAGTTGACATAAAGTTTAATAATACTGACAATTATGACATTAATTCAAGTCTACCTTGATCTAAAAACATTACATTACAAATAAGAAAATGAAGTAATAATGCCATGGAACTCTAAAAGAAAAAGTTATATGTGTACCACAAAATATCAACACGAAATTACCTATTTACATAAATATTTGCTTGTGGTCCTGTTGTTAAATAAGAGTTTGCTATGGATAATGCAGCACTGTGAGAAGCTACAGATCGTCTGTGTCTTAATGACACCAACCTTAATACACTCATTTTAAATATGAGAGCTGCTTTCCCCTTACACAGATATGCCACTGTCCCATATATTAAAAAAAGGAGACAAAGAAGAAAGGACAGTAAAGTAGAAACACAGAAGCAATCCATCGTTGTGAATATATATATATATATATATAAAATGCAACTCAAATATATTACTTATAAACGAAGGTGGTTATCATATACATATGCTAAGTATGTTGTTTAAGGTATGCTTAGGAAAGGTAATGAAAGTCAAGTGAGGTGTCTGATATCAAAATAAACTTATATTCCATATAGTCCATGCTGCATGCCGCAGGTATTAATAACCATGCTTGGCACAAGGAAAAAAGGACAGGAAAAAGAAAAGTAACTCAGCCCATTTTAAAACCTTTTTCCTGTAATGTTTTCAGGTTGGCCCCCAAACTCAATGTGATGGTTTTCCTCCCAGCAACCCCTTAACTGACAATTGCATTTCAGCTACCAAATACCATTTTGGGACAAACTCTTCTCTACGTTCTTTTATAGAAAGTTACCAAATACAGTAAGTTTTCTCCTCCAATGTCACTGCATCATTGAGTGAAAAAACAGGGGGATGAAAGTAAAGAATTCAGCTTTTAGGTAGCAGCCTGTTTGCTAAGATGCCTAGTGGTTATTTTAGCCCTAGTACTCAGCATTGGCTTCCTGTGTTTTCCATGCCTCAGATAAAGGTTGAGAAGCCAGTAGCTGCTGTCTTATCCTTATGGTTTTGAAAGCAAACAAAGTTTTAATGATTAATGAATAGCAGAAATAACCTGAAGTTACTGTGTCAATGGTGTTGCCTCACCCTTTGGAAACTTCGGAAGGAAATTCAGAGACACTGACTGGTTTCAAAAGCATCACGATGACTGAGATCTTTAGTTTGCTATCAAACATCAGACATTGTCAATGCTGTCAAAGAAGGGGAGAAAAATACCTTTCTAATACATTCTATTTAAAGTTCCTTTCACTAGAAACATGGGAAAGAGTCGGGATTTAGCACAGGGGAAACATTTTTACTGTTAAAACATACATTTTCTGTGTACTATGCAGGTAAAAGTCATATGCATGACTTTTAGCAAGAGCTGATCTTTCAACTTCCAGTGTATACAACTACTCTTGGCTGCCAAGCTCTTGGCAGCTCTGAGATGAAATGGGGCAGCACCTGCTAATGTTTTGAGGCAGGATCTGTTACAAAGACTGAAAGCTGACATTTTTTGTTAGTATGATGGGATAAACTTTTAGTCCCATGTATATGCGATAAACAGGCACACAGGACAGACTCCTGTTACATCCTATAAATCAGAAGACAGTATCAAGCAAAGGAAAAACAGTGGAAGTAAGGAAAAAGTGTGCATATGATAATACTATAAGAGCTGACTCAGTTCTAGCTATCCCCGTGCTTTAAACACGGTCACTGGGGTCCTGGTACAGCAGAGACATGGAGACCTTGCACAAACACATCCAATATCGGTTTTCCATTTATTTCCACTGACTTTCCTGTGGTGTTCCTTAGTCTGGTGAGGCACTAGGATTACATTTTTATGGGCAAGATTACAAACACAGCCAGAAAACTGGCTCAGTACCACCTTTTATTATAACTAGCTTTGTACTTAACATGGAAGTGATGCAGACATGAAGATGTAAAATTATCTAAGAACATGATGGAGAATGATGCTTCTTGCTACATATTTCTGAAGTGGTGGCTAACTGAGTAAGTATATTCACAGATGAGGGATGTACATAGCACCTATAAAGTACATTATGGGTCTTATGTTTTCCCTTTGGGTTCTAAAAAGACAAAAGTTAAGCTTAGTTTAACGCCTAATAGCTAATCAATAAGACCAGTGGGCTGCTGTCACTTTATTACAGGACCATGATTTAAGCACTATTTTATACGTAAAATGGATTAATGTTATGATTTTTTTTTCATGCAGTTATGTATTTGTATCAAGGGAAAGGAAAAAACCCCAAATAAATATCGTGTTACAGTATGTTCTCAGCTGTATGAGAGAAGTGACCCATATCTGCCTTAACAGGATCTACAGCAGTTGTGCTTTTGTTTTACCAGGCTAAAAAAGAAATTCTCAAAAATAAAGAGGAACGGTAACATTCATTCCCGTCATGAATACTGCTTGGAAAAAAAACGAACAAATTTTATCACTGCTTTGACATGAACTCCTTCACCAGTACTGTTGTGGTCCTCCTTTGCTCCTACACTGGCCTACAGTAGGAGATCTACGGGGTTTGGAAGGTGGGAGTAGCCCAAATCCTGCACTGTATTTAGCTACAGCACTTAACAAGTTACTATTGATCCTACTGATAAAGCCAGAACCTTGCGGCTAGAATTGTGTCTTAAACTATGTATCTCTCGACTTTCATAATTAAGAGCATAGCAAGATCATCGCAGTGATAGAAAACATATTTCTTTACTGGTGAAAGGCTTTGCATCAGGACCACCATGTCAACTGCTATTTTAAGTTTGAACATAAAACATGAAGAGCACTATTGTCATCTAAGCAATAAGTCCTAATGCCACTGTAGTTACTGTAGCAGCATCAATCAAGGCATCATGGTGACCCCGAGCACTAATCCTCCCCAGTTCTTTCAGTTTCGCTGGCAGCCATGTCCCAGGAAGCTGTCTTCAGCAAGGCAGAAGCAGGTAAGAGAAATACATTAAAAATCTATGTCCCATCCTGAGTTGTCATCAGGGGGTGGTTCATCACTGTCCTCTGGGAAGCTGTCAAAATTGCTTGTGTCTGTTGGAGATGCAACCTGCAGAAAGAAAAGAGTGACAAGAAGGTGATGGTCACCAAAGTAGACCTCTGCAGACATTTCCTCTTGATCTCACAACCATGGTCATTCAAGAGTGTTCATTGCTAACTACAGCAAGCAAGAGAAGTTCTGCATTCCACAACTTTTTGCTGAATCCCTGGAGGACTTCCCACAGCTCCCCTACTCTAATGATGCAGGCCCTCTAGGGTCTGTACTTCAAGAGCAACTGTCCTACCTGTTGGTACGAGGTCATCAGAAAAGACTTGGGAAAGCTCTGGGCTTTCCCCTGCCCCTGATTTCCAATTTATGGCTAGGATTCTGAGAGGCTGTAGGCCAGGGCCTGCCACATTTGAGTTTCCTGACAAGTACTGCTTGGTCTAGCAAGCCTACCAGAGAAACTCATCAACTCATCTTCCTAGGATGAAGGCCAAATACCTTTCTTCTATTTTTTTTTTTTTTTCCACTTTACGATGGTGACTGAAACTTTCTCACACTGAGACATTCAATGTAATTAAAAAAAAAAAAAACAAACAATACAAAAACAGACCCCAGCTCTCCAGACCAAAATTATCAGTGTCTTAGAATAGTTAGGGTTGGAAAGGACCTTAAGATCATCTTGTTTCACCCCCCCTGCCATGGGCAGGGACACCTCACACTAAACCATGTCACCCAAGGCTTCATCCAACCTGGCCTTGAACACCGCCAGGGATGGAGCATTCACAACCTCCCTGGGCAACCACCCTAACAGGAAAGAATTTCTTCCTTATATCTGATCTAAACTTCCTCTGTTTAAGTTTTAACCCGTTACCCCTTGTCCTGTCACTACAGTCCCTAATGAAGAGTCCCTCCCCAGCATCCCTATAGGCCCCATTCAGGTACCGGAAGGCTGCTATGAGGTCTCCACGCAGCCTTCTCTTCTCCAGGCTGAACTTACTAGAGAAAATCAGTACTTGAAACTGCACCTCAAGCAGCCAGTGCAGGCTGGAGGTGACTGCCCTTGCCATGGGAATTCTGGTCAGGAAACGCTGTCATTTTTAGCCATTTCACTAGTGCGACTAGTGGAAAAGCCACAGCCAGAAGCCAGTCTACAAATACATCTCCAGCAGTCCAAAAGACGTATTTGGTGCTGGATGCTGCTATAAGCCTTGGGAAACAAGAGCTCCAGCTTCAGCTCTAAATTTAATTTGCTGCCTAGCTACATCAGCAGTTCGCTGCTGCTGAAAAAATCTTGGGGAAAATTAAAGCTCTTGAATACCCAAATAATTTTGAAAAAAAACCAAAAACTGCAAAAGCTTAGTGGAGTACTACAGACTGATGTGATGCTTCACTGTGTACTGAATACTGTAATTTTGTTCCCTTTGAGTTATGTGGATCTGTTTACTTTGTGGGTGCTCCTCCACCCTTCAGGTCTTAACCCTTGGGGGTTCTCCTCCATGGTGCCATGGACCACATTCCTCTGCTTCTCTCAGCCCATCCCATGTGAGCTCTCCCTCTGGGAGCAGAAGCGTTGAAGATGTATGTACAAGGTACCAGCTACCAAAGTGTAAGAGATGCAATTGGTATGGCCATTGCAACCAGGATGCACACAAGCTGGAACTTCTCGCAAAAGCCTCTCAGCAGTGATGGACAGTGCGTAAGTCAACTTCACTGGGAGAAAGCATCTATGGAGCTCCCTGGGTCTCCTCTGCAGATGTCTTCTCTGGAAGCACCTAGCAGGCAGTTTTTTTGAGCTCTGGTTAGTTGAGTCTTTCAGGGAATTAAGTCCTGCTTTGAGAAATGGATTGCATTTTGTGTTTATCTGACAAAACAAAAAGGCTGAGTATATCCAACACGTCAAAGATAGAGGGTTTTCTTAGAAGAAATATGATTTAGGGAAAAAAAGGTTGGATGAATTGTTACTCTACTGACTGACATTATGTGATGCTAATGCTGTTGTGTGTGATTCCTCACAGTTCTGAGGTTCAGGTCACCTGTGTGGCCTGCAGTTCTTTACTGCTGGAGACATAGGAACAAATGTCCTCTAAATGCCCTCTCCTAAAATTACCTCCTGTCCAAGAAGATAAAGTGCAAATGTCAATATCAGCTTTCTGGTTGCTTAACAACATAAGGGCTTGAGATGAATTATGGTGGAGGGATCTGTAGATCTTTCTCAAAGGCAGAAGCTGTGATGCCAGAAGGGACATCTTTGGAAGACTCAAGAGCTTTTAAGGACAGACACTGTCACAGATTTCTGCTGTGGTATCAAGGGTAAGCTGCTCCCTGAAGCAATGTCTTAGCAGCAGGATGTAAATTAATATATTTCCTAAAATTCCAGATTAAGAGCTAAGGAGCAGCTTTAGATTGCCTCACTGGTAGTACCACATAACTGCTGATAAGGGTTAAAGAGTTGGGGACGGCCTTTTTTAATTAACAAAAAAAAAACCAACCAAACAAAAAGCTAGTCTCTATGTTTAGCCCTGCTTGCTCCTTTAGAGCTAACAAGTAACTAAGAGAGATGCACTGATTGACATTAAAATGGATTTCTTTCCCAGAGCTATGTATTTTGGGCCCTTTTCAGATATGGCTCTTACTAGCAGTTGGGACTTTTGCCAAAGCAACTGAAAAACTTGTGGAAAACAAAGCTGAGCAAGACTGACAGCTTTGATCTTGACAAGATATACTAGTTAATGGAGGAAGGTTTTGGAGAAAATCTCATGAGTATGTCTAGAGAAGATATTACTCTTAAGAGCTCTAGGAAAGACGTAGCTGTGTTGAACTGGGATCAGGTCAATGTATGCCTGTCAACATTGAGTTGCTCTGGAAGAAGGACTCCTCTGAAGAGGGAAGGATGTTCCCATCTATTTTGGACAGCCTTGATAGTGGTGTGCTGGCCAGAAGGGTAACAGCAGATCACTCTCTTGGGAGCAATCACAGACATATTTCTTGGTAGGATATTCACAGTCCCATGAGCATACTGCCTTGATGATGCCAAGAAATAATGCCAATGAAGTAAACCGGGTGTTCACAGAATCCTTTTCTACTACTGCATCGGAACACAACTGAAAAAGCAAAAAACGAGTGATTTCTGCACAACAGACTGGAGAGCAGCCTTCCTCTAGGCAATGTCAAAGGAGCAGAGACCATTTCTGGTAGTGAAGCAACATCCCAGCTTGGGGATGTCAGGAAGCAATTCATGTCCATAGCGAGGAAATACAGCTGAAGTCACTGCTGCTAGTTGTGTTGTCTGAGAGTTAGACATGCAGGGTCCATACATATACTGTGTAAAAGCAGTATTGGAAATGCTCTTACGAAAGTAAAAATTCACGAAAAACAATTAGAAAAACATATTTGGGCATTTCAGGATGCACTGCCATCCTGCAGAGGTAAAACAGGAATTGTAACTGGATATAAAGGAGCAAACTTGACTTTATATTGTGATTTTGAAACATGGGGAACAGTGTTGCTGACAAATTAATAGTCATTAAAAAGAAGCTTACCAGAAGAACCATAGTTTTGATTTATAAAACATTTACGTATCCTTTGGGTGTCCTGCTTTAGGCAGATATTTGCTAAATCCTGCTTTCCCCCACTGACTGTCAGTAACTTATACAGCCAATATGGCAAAAGGTGAGGGGGGCACAAAACCTTCTGCTTTTTCATAGCTGGTAAGAAAACTTTGGGATTGCAGATTTAGCCCTGGAGCTGTGCCTGCCACTGCTGCAGGAGGTGCCGGACCATGGGTGGAAAGAGCAAGGGGCTGCAATTAAACATGATTGCTAATGTCATTCTCTTGGTGATCCTGCGGGAGAGGCATGGAGGGAAAGGATTAAGTTGAAACAAGGAGGGGAGGCTGCAGAACAGAAGGGGCCAAGGTAATTTCTATCAGCTAATCCTGTTTGGTTTCTCTTTGTGGCAGGCTTTGTGGGTAAAGGACTCACAAAGACATCAAAGGAAGAGCTTTGCTCCAAAGGAAAATGAGTCGAGCCATTCCTCCGTGTCTCCTCCCAGTTAAACATAAACTAGGCGGTAACAGGGCTTTTCATGTAGGACACAGACACAGAAAAAAAGAAAAGACAGAAGAAGAGGTTAATGCAAAAGAAAAGGGAAATGGCATACAAATCCCACTTGCTTTCCCAAAAGAAGTAAGAATAAAGGAGGAAGAAAAAGGGCACATTTGAGAAAAGGGGTTAAAGTGGCAGTTCTTCACTGAAATGTGAAAAATAGATGTTAGCAGTTGCAAAAGAGAAAAATATTTAGTAGTCTGTGATCCTGCCCTGATCTCCTGCTGAGAAGGGCATTTCATTGCAATCATACTGTCCCCAGACTGCCTTCTCCTGTAGAAGACTGCCCGGAGACCAAATATGGCTGAAATGGCTCAACTTCTTCAAGCATCTTCAGAAGAAATAAAGCACATGCTGTTGCCACTTGACTGCAGTGTAATAGTGCCTGCAGCTCATAACATTCATGTAGAAGAAACTTATTGGCTGTGAAGGAGAAAATTAGGAAAACTTACACTTGGTATTATAGGAGGTGTCAGTGTCCCTTTTCGTAACCCTTCCCAGTTAAAGCCTTCAAACCATCTAGAAGGGAGAGAATAATGAAACAGTTACACAGTGAAAATCTCTCTGTAGCATAAATTGAAACTGCTTAAACAGTGTGTTTCATCTCCCACAGTTATCATCTTCAAATCGTCTAAATAACCTTAATAATTCTTCCTGTCAATTTTATATATGTTCTTTTTGGGGACTGAAAATGAAGCATGTGTAGCAACTAAGTGGTGATACCATGGCAAGTACAAATTACCAGTGCTCAGAAGAAAACTGTTCCTCACTGCAGATGTCCTGGTAGCTGTTCTTTTCTTTCTATAGAGTCGATCCATCCCATATGAGACCTCTAATGTCCTTTTTTGAGATTGGGAGCTAAGGGCATGCACAGGGATGTCCTCCGCCTGGTTTGGGCACTTCAGGTTTGCTCAAGACATGGCAGCTTAGGTGGGTGGATGAGCCCTGAGCTGAGTCTTCAACCCATTCACCCAAAATGTCCATCCAATCCACTTCTGTTGCTTTGGGTATGGGAGAAGGACCAGCATGGATGGATGAGAAGGTCTGCTTCTGTGATGGGTCTCTAACTTGTTCTTATCCTGCTTCAGCAGGAACTTGTAAAACATCACTTAATAACTCTGCCATCAGACCAGAAGTGATGATGAATTAACATTACAGATAGGGAAAAAGTGTGTTGGGCTTTGGAGAGGAAGGGAAATTGAGGAAAACCTTGGAAAGTGATTCTGCAAACCAAAAAGTCCAAGCAGGCAGTGGCTCAATTGGATTGCTTTCAAACGCTCTTTTGCATTAGACTAAAGCATAATGGTCAATATGCCATGCATTTTGCTCAGAGGCAAGGCTAGAATCTACACCAAACACTGGGGAAAAAAAGTCTGATGGAAATCCATACAGGGTCTAAAGCATACTAGAAGGCAAGTATTATTTTGCAGAAAATTAAAGTGTTTGAAATGCACGTTTTTGTGGGTTGGATCTGATGATTGGTGGAGGAGACACTTACTTGTGCTTTTGGATATCTTTCACTCCATTTTTCAAATTCCCTAACCTCTCTGATGGATTGTCCCTATAAAACAAATAACAAATTGGTTACTTTCTTAATCCTTCTGAACAACTAATTTCTTTGCAAACAAGATCAAGGTAATTATATTTCATGTGCTTACCTGCATAGTTTTTTAATTAAATTAGCAGCATTTTTGGCAATCTTCTTTGGAAATTCAATCATGTCTATTCCCCTTAGTATGATGTTATAGGTCTTCATGGGGTCTGGACCTGAGAAAGGGGGACTTCAGAGGGGAGAGGAAAATAGAGAAGATTAAAAGTTTGTCTTTAAAATAGCATTGAGGATTGATTTAAAAAAAAAAAAGACTCCAAAGCAAAAGAGTACCCTGCTGAAATGAGAAAGGGCAGATGACAACAAGCAATGCTTTGCTTTCTATAATCTTAACAATTTCTCAGCGAAGGAGCTCTGATACTGTCTGGATTTCAGTAATGTTGGCTGCAGGGAAGTATCAAAGAGTAAAGTTTTGCAGAGCAGCACATGCTAAACCTCTTCTTTCCATAATGGCCCATGTACCAACAGCATGAGGAACAAGGGTCTGAGTAACGTTTGCTGGCTTACAGTGATATGACACGCTTCCAGTGGTGATTAATTAGGTTTCCAACAGTTTGACAAAATAGTGCCTTAGGTCCATCCCTAAAGGATAAGCCAGGAGTGAGTGATGGGGGATGAGGTTAGGAAGTGCCAGGAAGCCTCTACTGCCAACATCAGCGCTAATATATACATCCAAAACCACGTAAGGGAAGGGATGGATATAGGGACTCAAGTCCCCATGGTCTATCTCCTCCTTTTCAGGCATGCAACTGCCCATCACTGCACATCCCCAGTTAAATTGAAAATCCTCTCTTTCACCACCATGTTCAGCTCACTTCGGCCCCAAACTAACTTTTTGGTGCAATTTTACAACATTTCCTAAAGAGCCTGCTCATGTCTTGCCCTTTGAGAGGTCTTCATTGAAGCTGTGATGTAAAGTGGAAAACTAATTCTTAGGTTCAGCAGCACAGTGCTGTGCCGCTACAAGCACACACCAGCTCTGAACCTTCCCCTTGCCTAATCAGGGTGACAATGGCAGAAATATTTGGATCTATTTTCAGCAGTGGTGCCGGCCCCGATGCCCATACCTGCCAGTCAGGAGTTCATACATTAAGATTCCCAGTGACCAGTAGTCTGCCGAAATGTCATGACCTTTGTTCAGGATGATCTCAGGGGCTACATACTCCGGGGTTCCACAAAAAGTCCATGTTTTCTTTCCAAATCCTATTTTCTTTGCAAAGCCAAAATCGACCTGCAGAAAGGAGCAGAGTACCCATCAGGGCAGAGCATGAGAGGGAATGTCAGCCATGTGCTCTGCTCCTCTTGAAGTGAAGCAAAGCAGAAAAGAGGTTTCCTCGTGGGAATATTCTCCTAACTAAAGCGTTGTGGGTCATTCCAGGACCAGGCAACCGCAGTGACCTCTTAACTGATTTATCCTTTGTAATATAAAAAGAAGAGTCTCATAAAGGAAGAAGAAAAATGCTGGCACCAAGAGTTTCTTGGGAGATGAAACTTTGTATCCCTAATTTTTGCTTTTGTGTTTTTGTTGTTGTTTTGTTTGTTTTAACTCCCAGCTTTAACCTGAGCAAGGAACTATTTAGGCTAAATACTGACCATTTTGGCAGCTACTGAAAAGCTCAGATTTCTCTCCCAGGCTAAAGAGCAATGCAGTACAACAAGTGTCCTCCCAGTTTGCTTGACACTGTTAGAATGTGCTGGTGGGATCACAAAACGCAGCATGTCCCTATAGCAGTGCCCTTATGGCACCAGCAAGTATGGAAAAATCAAATTATACTGGGAATTGAAGCTGTCCTTTTCAGTCCAGGCAAAGATCATATTAATAGGCTTACTGTATTTCTAGCTCTATCCCTCTGCCCTTCCCTGCCTCAGTGCTGTGATGGCCCAGAGCTGCGGTCTGTAGCAAACTCTGCTGTCTCTTCATGGCTGTGAGATGCTCCTACACCTGCACTGGTCAGGAGCAAAATGTCCTACATGGTCACAGTCCCACAAAGGATCTGGGACACTTTCTGTGCTGTCGTGGACATATTTGAGCAGAGATAAAAATGTCTAAAGAGCTGGGGGACAGTGATGGGACCAGAAGGCAGCCAGGTCCAGATCCTCCTGCAGCAGAGAGGACAGCCCTGCACCTAATGGCCTTCTATTAACCAAAAAAATTGCTGGAGCTCCCCAGCCTTATCAAATTCCTGTAGATGATAATTTCTGATGTAATTCATTAGGCTTTGTGTCACAGTGAAACACAGCGGCTGACACCAGGCAATAAAAGTCCATGATGATTATGGTCTGACTTACTGCTCCTAGCTGCTGATACCACTCCCAAGTTTCTCTTCCCAAAGGCAGGGAAGAGTCCTCAAGATAAGAAGCAGAGACCTTGGCCCCCTGTGACTCTCAGGGAGGGCATCAGCCCCTCCTGGATGCAGCTTTTTTTAGGGGTGTATTGCTTCCCATGGTTTCCCAAGTGCTCACATCCTCCAGCACCTCCTACCAAGGGAAGTCTTTCTTTTCTTTTCTGCTTCTCCATGGTATCACCTGGCCATTTGAGATGTATCTTACATTCAGGGCACCTCTGCATTCATTTTCAAGACAAAAAAGTAATTTGAGTGAATAATGCAAAACAGTGAAACTCATCAGGAACTCCCTAGTTTGAGGTCTTGTACATACTGCTGTCCTGATTCGAAGAGATGGCTCTCACAGGGGGACAGCACCAAGAAGGACTGTGACTTTCTGGGAAGACCAGTTTTAGGCAGAGCCTTATGCAATTTTCACAGAGAAGCTTGCACAGATTAGACAGGAGTGTTATCAGTGCTAAAACACAAGTGGCCCTCCTAAAGCAAGAAGCTGCATTGGCCACAGTTCAGCAACACCATCCAGAGCAATTAGTCCGAGTCATGAATAATATTTCCATTTTCCATTAAGAATGAATTTATAATTGCTTACACAAAGGACCTGACATAGAAACAATAGTGTACAAAATTTGTTTCACCTGTCATCTCTAAAGCCCACAGATGCAAGTCCTCCTGGTCTCCCACCAATACACCTATTTGCAAGTTAACTATTAATCTTTCAGTAGCTTCAAAACAGCTAGGTTGATGTCTCCTGGTGCTGTTTTCAAAAGTTTTCCACTTCAGGAACACAGATCTGAATTTTAAGCCAGAATTAGTGTTTCCCAGCTCAGTTGTACCCTGAGCCTCAGCCTGCTGGACGTTGGGAAAATATCCTGGTGGTGGGTGACAACATCCATGCCCTGATCTCATATCAGCATCTACTGATGGCAACCATCAGAGACAGGACCCTAAACTGGGAAGACTTTGCTTCTGACCCTCTGTGGCTAATCCCATGTTCTCCTCTATCCCTAACATCAGTTAGTTGCAGTGACTTTTTTGACAAAACAGATGTTGTAGGCACTCACCAGTTTGGCATAACCTCGATGATCCAGAATAAGGTTTTCTGGCTTGAGGTCCCTATAAATGATCCCTTTGGAATGCAAATAGGCAAAAGCTTCGACCACACATGCTGTGTAAAACCTGGTTGTCGAATCCTCAAATGAACCTCTACATAAAATGAGAGAGGGAAAGGGGATAAAGTGATTAGATTTCTTCCCTTATTTGACTTCACTCTACTGTTAAAATCTCTATACAGTTCAGTAGAATCACTCTTACAGCTGGAAAGTGCCTGTTGCTAAACTCACCTTTGGCCAAGCCATTATCCATCATATTTGAGAAGATGTGGCAGTTGAGTGAAATTCCTGCTGACTGGAAAAAAGGGGAAATATAACCCCCATTTTAAAGAAGAAAAAATGAAAGACCCAGGGAACTACAGGCCAGTCAGTCTCACCTTGGTGCCAAGCAAGATCATAGAGCATATCCTCCTGGAAACTATGTTAAGGCACATGGACAATAAGAGGGTGACTGGTGACAGCCAACATGGCTTCACTAAGGACAAATAATGTCTGATAAATTTGTGGCCTTCTATGATGGGATAAGGGAAGAGTGACTGATGTAATCTACCTGGACTTATGCAAGGCATTTGACACTACCCTGTGCATCCTTGTCTCTAAATTGGAGACAGATTTGACGGATGGGCCACACTGGAAGTTTTCAAGACCAGGCTGGATGGGTCTTTGAGCAACCTGGTCTAGTGGAAGGTGTCCCTGCCTATGGCAGGGGGTTGGAACTGGATGAGCTTTAAGGTCCCTTCCAATCCAAATTATTCTATGATTCTATGATTTGCATCTTTGAAATTAGCATCTTTGCCCTCAATCCACCTTCATACCAAACTTTCACATCTGAAATATTTTAGGTTTCATTTTATAGTTTCATCTTGTGGAATTAAAATTTACAAATCATTATCCTGTAAGCAAAAGGTGATTTTTTATCATAATCTTTGACTTTTGGGTGTAAAGCTATTTTGAGCTGTAGAGACCAAGAACTCCTGTACTAATATTCATAACCAAGACAAAAGGCAGAAAAATTACAGTTGCTAGGACTTGAAGTGTTAAATGCAAATTCAGCATAAACTGCACCATATCCCCCTGCCCACCAGGAGCTGGTGGTGGGAACTGGCTGAGCTCAGAAGCACATCTAAGCTAGGTGGCAGCAGAACCACAATTTAAAGCTGAGAGAATTAACAATGAAATTATCAGGCTCTGACCAAGACAGTGAAAAATACAAGCTGGCACTGCTAACTCTGCTACGCTTCTTGTTTTAATGGTCCAGAGATGGCATGCTGTTAGGAAAAGCAAGACTTGAAATAAAATCATTCTAGGTAATTAAAAAAAAAAAATTAATCTTTGATTTCCAGTCAGTCTTTTGGATGCACTTCTTTCACTTTCCAAATTTAATTAAATCGTGTTCCAATCATGAGCCTATTACATAGTTACAGGCAATTCACCACACCTTTTCCTGCCGCATGGGTGATGTATTATGTGCACATCCCCTATACACCTGTGCAACCCACTTGCCACCTACTCACACAGAACCAAAACCAATTGCTGCAAGGTCAAAACCTCCCCGGGCAGGAAATACCAGGACCACATTTAGTTGTGCATTACAATGTGGTATGTAATTACATGCTTTCCTATTTTTTTCCATGTCACTTCTGCATCCTGATGGTGTAGTGCTCCTTGCAGAGTGAGGACTTGATGCACGATCCTGTTTCCCACTTTGATCAGTGACCCTCATGTACTATGCGATATCTGAACTAAAAGCCTATGCAGAACTATTGATTTCCTCCTGCTCATTGCTGTCACAGCTGACTGTGTCATAAATATTAAGAAGTATTAATAGATATTATTTATGACAGTGCCTCCATGAAAGAGGTGGATGTTGCTATTCACAGTTATTGAGTTTGAGCAGCAGAGCAAACACAGAGATGAAAAAAGCAGGTCTTTCTTTGGGATGGGAAATTGTGATTTTTTAGATGACTTTGAAGAGGTCTGTATTTTTTACCCTGAAAATCACTTTTCCATTGATTTCATTCGTAACTGCAAAGTGTCACTGATGCCAGTGCTGCCTTAGGGCCTTGCTTTACAAAATCCAGAGTCTAAAATAGCCATTTAGGCAGCAATGCCTAAAAGTGTGCTGCTAGAAAGGCACTAACTCCGGGAGTGTGTCTTGCAGGAATGCAGCAAGACTGGCTTTGACATTGCACCTACTGAAATGCCTGGATGATTGCTCTCTGCCATCACCCATGGTACCCAAAGTCTTAGTTTCTCTTAAGACAGTCCCACGTTTCCCTATCAGGTGCCTGAGCCTCCCACCAGGCTTCCAAATGCAAGAAATGATAGCACGGGCACCAAGAACACAACTGTAATTTCTGTGGTTGCAAAAGGTTGTTGTTCTAGGTAATTCAAATTAATTTAAATAATTAATTATTCTGATTAAAATATGCTGCCTGCTATTTAGGGGTACCTGTTAGAGATGAAGACATAGAGAAAAGACAGTCAAAGACTTGTCATAGATGCAAATCATCACATGACTACCATCGCCTCTATCACTACCTTCTGTATTTTTTCAGAGATGCCATGACAAAGCAGCTCCAGATAAGTCCCTGCTTACATAAAGCGTTGTACATGTTGGATACAAACTAAGTCTGTCCTTATTCTTAGTTATAACTGGATTCACTTTGTGTCTAGTCAACCGCATAGGAACAAAAATAGCTCCTCACCTTTCTGGGATCTTAAATCAAACACACATAGCATGGTAAGATCCAGATCTTGACCATGAAAGATAAATATGTTTGGTTATCTAGAGGCATATAAGAAAATATTCCACTTTTTAGGACAATAGTTTCTTACAACTCACCTGTCCCTGAGAATTGTCCAAAGCTCTCCACCTAGACAGGCTTCCATCAGCATGTACAGGTATTTGCTGTCCTTGAATGTCCTGTAAAGCCTGTTGTTGACAAGCAGAATCATAAATAAATCCACTATACAAGTGAAGACACCAAGCATTCCTACTTCTCACAGACCATACACTTCATCCCAGGAAGCACCACAAGACTAAAGCTATCTTTCAGAGTTAGTGCTACGTTTAAGGAGATCATTTCAATGTCTCTTGTTGGGTAGGAAATACTTCAGTGGAAAAGGATGGGCATCTGAGCGGTGAAGTGTATTGTGGACCTCAGAAGAAGAGGTCATAACTACTCTGGGCGCTACATATAAAATTTGCCATTTCTAATAATATAACCTGACACTTGGCTCTCCAGATGTGGTTGTAAGTTTTCCTACTGCTTTTTATAACATCCATATCATCTTGTTCTTCACGCTACAAAGTCCAGCTGCAGATCAGCGGTCTTATTTCCATCTGATCATTTCAAAGGAGTGCTGCCCAATTTGTGATTCGTTACAGAACATAAACCCACTGATGTGGTAGAGTTTAAAGAGAACCTGCTGACACGCAGGTATCCGTTTGTGAAGTGCTCTTCCTCTTTCCCCCAGGGACTCAATATGGAGGAAAAATCTGCCTAAAGGGTAGATGGGCCAGGCTTTATGAACCTGTCTTCCTCAAGTGCAATCTAAAATGTGTGGCAAAATGCATGCTGTGTGTTTAATATGATTTATTAAACAAATGCAATTATAAAACTATGAAAACAAAAAAAAGGGAATTCAGTATTAGCTGGTTCACTTAATTTTAATGTCGAACTACTTCTGTACTTATTACATGAGTGGGTATACCAGTTTAAGTTGCCTACAGAAACAAGCCTGCTGTATGCGGACACTGGAAAGGTTCTTTGCAGCTGCACTGTTTAGAAATTCATTTTAAAAATCCAAGCTCCACAGCAGAAGGGGATGCTCAGGGATATGGTGCAATTGCTGCATTCATGGCAGTTACCAAGAGTTAAAAATTGAAGGGCCAATGCAACATGATATAAATCAAACAGGTGGTTTTGTGAATTCTAGCTCTTCCCAGCTAGTGATAAATCTAGTTATTAATATATGTTATTGAGCTGTGATAGACTAGGGAGAAAACACAGCAGGATATGTTCCTTTCTAAGGCATACAGTTAAATATTAAATTAAAGTACATAGCAAAACATCCTGGTAGCTACAGCTTGGCTCCGATACGCTCTCACATCACAATGCTAGACAACATTTATCTCCTGTCTGTGTTTGCATAGCATCCAGCACACAGCTTAGCAGCCCTTACCTACTCTATTCTTGCCACGTTTAAAAAAGCAAAGATCCCAGCAGCTGCAGCTGTGATGCAAGCAGGAGTTTGGGTACCGAATATGCTCAGGTAGATAATATGAATATTGTCTACCTGAGAAATATTTTGCTTGCTGCCACAATAAAATTTAGAGTAGAAAGCCAAAACAAAACAGTATTTCAGACTTTTCTTATTCTAGTATTACCTATGTGACACTTAAAACCAGAGTTATAACGTGCTTCTTGGAAACAGGTGGAACAAACCTGCTGACCATTTCATATGGTCAAAATTTCTGAGTTAAAAAAAAATCTTATTTCTTGCCAGTTGGATAAAACATGATTCATCTTAGTAAATATTTAATCCAGATTAATGTTTACAAAAAACATACATATTCAAGAATCCAAAATGTGATCAACTAAATACGTTTAGTTCAAATGCTACTGAAATATGGCACTTTCTCTAGTTAAGGTAGCCCTGCTGAAAAATTGCTTTCCAGAAAATTCTATGTGCATCAAATTTGGCCTAAAACATGCATAACAAAAAAATATTGTTTATCAACTGTAATGGAAGCATAAATTTTATACATGATGAAATCACGCTATTTCAGCAAATCAAGCAGTCTTCAGTTTGAAATGTCACAATATTTGAATTCATTTTTTTATTTGTTATTATTCAATGAAATATTTGCAGATCCAATGCAGGCACCCCCTGCTCAACACTTGTTCGGCCCTTTACCAAACCCAGATAATTTTGGTCTTGAGATTCTTAGTTTATCTAAAAGTAAATTTTATTTAGTAGTACTTGGCCTTTCCTGCTTCTTTTGTCCGGTTTAATGCATTTTAGTAAGCAAACTGAACTATTCTTCAAAGATTTTTAATGAACCGTTTCATAATAAATTAAGACAACAGAGTTATTTGAGATTTTTTTTTCCCCCATTCTGTTATCCCAGAGATCGTGTCCTTGCTCCAAGGCCATTTTGAAACCACCTTTCACCCAGCATTTTGAAATACAATTAATCTGAAACGATAATATTTCTACCTGCAGCACCCAGAAAAATATTATCCCAGCTGATCCAAGAAAGGGTATAAGCAGGTTATGAATGATTTTAGAATAGTAACTATAAGACAACTTAAAATCCCCACGAATGTGCAAAAAGAGAAGCGAGGGGGAAAAGCAGACATGGAATTTGACAAACCAGGTATTCTCTAGCTACAGCACATGGAACAGCAAAAGGGTGAACTTTATGACTTAGAAAGTCCGTTCCAGTGCAGGATTTACATGGGGTATTAAAAATAGTTAAGGCAAGCTTGTTACTGTAAAGGATGGGAATTGCATGATATGGAAGGAAAAGACATACATATAACATTCTTTTTTCACTTGCCTGCTGAAAGAATAAAAAGTGGGAATGAAGAAGTATTTATTTCATTAGCTATGAATATCAGTGGCTCCATTAAGAAACGTTTACAGACTTGGTTTTTATTTAGGAGGGGATATTTCTGGAAATGATGTCAAAATGTCCCTCTGCTTGGCTAGCCCCACACTTCATCTCTCTTTATATCCCCCATCACAAGACGGTGCAGGCTTCAGAAGATAAATCTATAGGCTGAAATAGCTCACAAGATATATTTGGCTCTAGCCTAAGTAACAGGGGCATGTTTGTGAATTGAATATTACAGAGTGAAGGAAACTGCAGTTGGGTAGGGTACTGGGCTGCAGTTGTCATCCATGAATCAGAGGCAAAGCTGTGAGCTCTGGGGGAATCCCAGGGATCAGCCCAGGAAGGAAACACCCCCTTAGAGACCGATGAGTGGCTGTCCCAGCCACATGCTTGCCTTTGCATTTATCACAGGGGTTTGGTTTCGCCCCTAGGTTAGTATGTCTCTCCGTAGCAATTTTTGGGGGCAGGGTTGCTCTCTGGCAAAAGGCAAGTGTTTCAGGCATCTCTTTGAGGGTGGGACTAAGCACCCTTGGCTTAAATGAGAGACTGGCCTTTTAGGCACCTCCAGCTGGGTGAAATGCATTGCTCTGCCAGAGTTTCATACCACTCATTGTCCTTATCCTCATCTAAAACATATAAAGAACAATCTCTGTTTCCTGTTGACAGATACTCACAATCCTTGAAGAGTCAGGCAACTTTGCTATTAGGATTAAAACAAAAATGCCTGGAACCTGGTTTTATTGACTGAAGAATTGTCTCTGCTTAGGTTTGGTGGAGTGATACGGCTTTCGTGCATTTACCCATGATGAGTCAAGGGATGCTGAGCTAGATTTATCTAATCCACCCTAGAGAGAAGTGCTGGCTACAACTTTTTATTCACATGGCAGCACATGATCTCAAAAAATTAAACCCTACCTTCCAGCTTCCTTTTGTGGGAAGAAAAATTCAGAAATTAAGAATAAAAAGGAAAATTAACCTTGAGCAGAGTCAATACCAAGTCATGGTGCATATATCTACATGGAGAATCGCCCACCAGAATCAGCAAGCTCTGCCCAGGTTGCTGGGAGGTGTGCTTGCTCCAGGAGCCACAAAGCCATGTAAGCAAGGCACGGGGCCAACACAAATCAGTTAAGACATGAGTTAAGTTTAGGCTTGGGTGAATAGCCCCCATGGGCAGAGTAATCTCACGTTTGCCTGGAACAGACTTTATTCTACACACTGTATTTGCAGTCCCTTGCAGGAAAGCTACAGCTAAAGGGTTTTTGTTGTGATGGATGTATTATTCCTATGTGCTTTTATGAAATCCTGAGATCAGCTGTGCTTCATTCCCTTGTGGCAGCACGTAAAGCAGAGGGATGGTACCTCACAATGAAGTCCGAGTGTGCGCTCTGCATGATCTGCTTCTCTGAGCGGATGTGCTCCTGCTGCCTCGTGTCCACAATGTGACGTTTCTTCAGTATTTTCATGGCAAACGTTTTTGATTCTTCACTTTTCAACTGGACCTTGGGTAAAGCAGGCAAAGACATTGGTTAGAAGCAAGGCAAATCCCTCTGCCAAACTGTGACAGTCCAACTGCATGGGAATGCAGTAATCCCACCACACTACCTTCAAATAATTCCTCTCACTTCTTCTGCCGTCAGCTTCACTTCAGTATGAAACAGATTTCTGAATACCTGGCCTATTGCTAAAATGAAAAGCTATTTCTAAAACTCCATGTGTTTAGGGAAAACCCAGCCATCAGCATTACTCACAAGTCAGATGAAGTTGCTACCTAACATACAACTTTCACAAAGCCTTTTTCTATAGCTAGTAACAAATGCACAGGCTCTGGCAAGGAAATGCAGTTCTTGGATGTTTGTAGAGGATGAGCATAGCTGGCTTTTCAACAGCACTGCTCGGTCATGTCTATACTTTCAACCTTAAGCCTCAGCAACCTATTTTTAGCCTTATTTCCCAAAATAAGGTTGAAGGAAGTTGTTTGCTTGCTTGCCAGGGTAACACTGGTAACTTTCGAACCCTAAGCTGTCCCAGCCCACCCTGAGGGACTGGTACCCATCCCAAAGAGAGCTGGAAGGCAACCATCCTTTCCATTTTGGCCTTACCATCTTAGTTGCCACCAAATGAGAGAGGAACCTTGCCATGGACCTACCAGGCCTATTAGCTTGTTAAATTGCCTCAGCAGCTGTTCACAATAACATTGCCAGTTAAATGCTTTGCCTCTTTATAGTAAGAGATGCTGTTTGGCAACTTCTATTTTGGTTTTCTTTTAGGAATTTGGCTTCTGCCAGCAGACAAGTGGCTTGTCTGTTGTCAAGCCCCACCATAAATCCAGCTTGCCTTTTAGGTTAGGAGACAACAGTCATGCAATCACAATTTATTTAATATAATATCTATTTTTCTATTTTTTTGGTAACAAAAATATGGACTGATATGAGACATGGCATCTTCCATGTTTTTCCCAGGCTGCATACCATAACCTTACATAGTTTCCTCTGCACCTGCTTTGTTCATGTAATGGTCCAGGTCCCAAGGAAAATGCAAAGAAGGATTGTATCCTCACTATCCCATCTTTGTCAGAAATCAGACTGGTATTCTGATGTCCACAAAGACACAGCTTAAGGAAATCAAACTCCAAAGGCTGATTCCCAGCTAGCAAAGAGATTTCCAAAAACACCACAAGTGATACAAAAATAAACATTAATACATGAGAGTCTATGGCCAAAGTTTTCATCATTAAGTTCTTCAATACATATACATGTTTGCATGTATTTTTCTGTTTTAAAACTACTTGGGGTTTTGGTCTTCAGATTTGTGGCTTCTTATTTCCCCTGCAGCGACAAGCATTTCCAAGACCACATGAAGCTTTTCTTTTTCCAAAGGTGCTGTTTTGTATTTCACACAGAGACTCATAATTATCATCTTTGCATGAAGCCGGTGTTCGCCATTTAATCTTCACGGAGACAGGGTGCAAAAACTTAAACAATCCACATAAAATAAAGAGAAACATTTTTCCTCATCTATGCACTAGAGCTGCAAGTTATTTATCAAACTGGTGCTACACGATGCTGCCTTTGCTATGCAGCTTGACCACATCTCAAAGCAGAAAGGAATTTTGCATTTATGGCAAACTGAAAGTGAATAAAATCATTTTGGGCTTAGGATCAGTGTTTGGTTGTTTTTTTTTTTTTTTCCTTTCTGAATAAATGGCACATGGGCTTCAGTTCAACTGTTTGAACTAAATTATTTAGTAGTACTCTCCCTAAATCAAAACAGGCTGTTTCAGGGAAGTAGGAAGAGGAGTGAGGTGGCACACATGGAATGAAGACATGATGAAAGTTAAGGGAAAATCTGGGCTGAGCAAAATCTTTCAAAGTTTGCAAAAAAAAAAAAAAAAGAAAAGAAAAAAAAAGAAGATTAAGGTTTAGCATGACCAAGCACATCTGGAGAATTTACACCTCTTGCTTTTGATGGTAATCCAGATTGCCTGGTCTCCCATCAGACTAATGGACAAGCAATCAGCTGCCACACAAATTATTTCAAATATAAGTCTGTGCAAAACTTTGTTAGGTATTACATATCAGACTTGTTTTCTCTCCATCTGTGTTTTTAAGGTCAGGCTGTCCACTGACAAATCATAATGAACAGTGGAACCAAGAAAGTAGCTCCAGTAGCAAATTTATCAGTCAATTTGAAAATGAAACATTAAAAAAATAAAAAAAGTATTTAGCACTCTAAACTTACTTCAAACATTTCCTGATGTTAATCTGTACCAGACATCAGTGTTAAAAATAAACACAACAACCTGGTGGAGGCTCAGATGAACAAATTCCAATATTACAGAATAAAGGGTATTATGAATAAATCCTGGTGTGCCTCTTTATGGTATTATCACTTTAACACTATGGATTCTGACTACCTAATTTTTTGTGTCTTTCATTAAAGAGGATATTATTTTAGTAATTTTTTTCAGTTTGTTTTTTTTTTTCAGGTATACGTACTTACACAGCTTCAAAAAGGAAATTACTATGAGGAAGCATAAGGCAGTGGTTTTATTAGGTGTTTGATGGTGTCATCAGTGCCACAAATGTTTCAATATAGAACAATCAGGTGGCTACAATTAGCTAATGCAAGACTTTGACCTAATGCCACAGGAGAATTTAGATCCATTTTCCATTCCCACTCCTGTCATGCTTCATAAGGCAGAAGACATGTGATAGTTTGGGAGCGTGGGGTCACTAATTTGCATTAAATGTGCTGATACACCAAAATAAGCTGCTGAGGTACAAAGTCTGAAGTTTTGGACTGCCTGGTTGTCCACCTGGAAGATGAACCCTACAGACTTCTGCTTCGTCAACATGCCTGAATCCTCTCCTGCTAAATGAGGTGACTGTGAGAACTACTTTTATGATGCAAATCTGGGGGGCCCCAGATAATTCATATTATTCTTGCAAAGAGCAAGTTTTAATATTAAGCTCCTGATAGTTCACAGAAAAAAAACACCAAAACCCTCATGTTTAATACCAATCTCATTTCAAAAGTAGGAAAATATATCTAAGAGTCACCTGGATATTTAACATAAAAAACCAAACCGGATTAACGTTGAGAAGATGAGAAGGGCTGCGAAGAACACCCTGCCTTTCAATTATAATGAGAAAAAAGGCTCAGAGAGCCACAGAAGCCATAAGGATTTTGACTCTTGGCTCAAAGGTAGGGATATTCTGGGCAGAAAGCTCAGCCTCCCCCAAAAAAACACTACAAAATCTCCCAAACAGTTCAGAAAAGGAAAAAGGTTGCAGCTTTCCTTGGTGGCAGTTTGCAAAGGAGTTTTCCATGCAGCAAAGCTCACGAGATTAGCGTTCACTCACTTTGAAGCAACATCTTGTATTTCAAAGACCCCAGGACTATTGATTCAGTGGAGACCTGCTGAGCCTTGGGTTTCAATCCCTCTTCTTCAAGAGCAGGCTGGGCCACCAAGAGGTTCAACACAGGGTAACCACCAGCTTCCACCTCTCTCAACCTTTTTTTTTGCAAGTTAAAAGAATTTCTGGTCCCTTCCCTCCTCACTTTTTTCACTCCTTTGCCTGCATTGACCTGACCCAGTCGTTGCCTTTTCATCAGTGTAAAAATCTCCCAAATTATCTCTCTCTGAGAGATATCTCTCTTGGAGAGATAATTTCTCTTGGAGATAATTTCACTGATTGTAAGAGCAAACATCAAGGCCACTGGAATGTTGACATAGAACAGTAATATTAAAGTCAGGTATCTGCTGAATACAGGCAGGGAAAAATTAGAAAGAACATTTATAGCACTGAATATACTCCATCCCTTTCTCTCCACCTACATACAGGTTTCAGTTTTCGATTTTATGTCCATCTCATCACTGAGCTCTGGCACATGGGCCATGGTTGCAATTCTGCCTGGATCGCAAAAGACAAAGCAGGCTGAACAGCAAATCTACACCAAGAGCAGTCTCATACCATCCATTCCAGTGCAATAATCACCCAAAGAGTGAATTCTGGTAAGGCTGTAGTTACTACTGATGCTCTCCTGGTCAGACTCCCTCCTGGTGAATCTCCTTGAGCTCTTTCCCTCACTGTTACAAATTAACTTCTGGGGGAGGATATAACCCGTTTCAGTTGTGGAACAGGAATACATTTTCTCTCCAAAAAAAACAGAAAAAAAGCAATAGGGAGCACAGTTAAATAAAATACAAACACCACCTTAAAAAGGTGATGTACAAAGCCAGAGAGGTAAGAGGTAAAATTAATTAGAACAGGTGATTCTGCAGGATTATGACCCAAGGAATAAACTGCATCCAGTGAAAAAACAACAGGAGAAATTTTGTTTGTAAGCAAATAAGCCATTTGTAGAAACAAAGTAGAATGAGAAATAGTTGTGCTCATTTTGCACAGATACGTATTTGCATAAAGATATAAAATACATATAAACATATATTGCATATGTTGATATGCATATCAATTAGAAATAGAAATGTAATATAAATATAGTTGCATTTTGAAAAATATTCTGGTCCAAGCACCGTGGTGACGTGATATCACAGTCACATTTGGAGCCGTGGCTGCATCTTCAACCATCAGGTTTTAACTGGACAGCATTACATTGGAAGAACCATACTTCTCCATCTTTAACACCTTCCTATTGCATGAGCTTGCCTCATGAAGAAGCAGCTATTCCTTTCCTCCACATGTGACATCCATCCAGCCCTCTGAAGCAAAGAAGATCCACAACACAAGGGTGGACAGGAGTTAAAGCAAGCAACTTTCTTCTATGCTAGCCCCATGGCTGCCCTCTCCCTCCCTTGTGGTTGTGTAGGAAGCACCATTCACTCAGATTCATAGCCTTTGGCTGTTTTCAGTGTGGTGCCCCATTTCCATGTCACCAGGTGGTTTTGTTTTTTGGCAGCCTGAGTCATTGTGACAAAGCTACTCCTGAGCAAACCCAAACAGGTGAGTCACTATCTGAAAATACATTTCAGAAATTC